CAGGGCTGAGATTGATTCGATACGTTCAAGGATGTAATAAGGCAGATACATCATCAGTCGTGGTTGGTTGATTAAATTCATGATTTCACACATTCACACGCCCGTGATTCACTCCTCTCGTCACTTCTACACCGTTCCCGTTTTTGCTCATTCACCGATTCTGCCGCGTCGCCCGACTCTCAGTGTGCGTCGCTCCACCACGGTGTCCAGTGAAGCGGGAGGCTGATACCGGCACAGGGACCGACGTTCTGAACTGTGATCCGTGTTCTGTTTGACGCCCCCGAGAACGGAACAAGAACAGAGGAGGTGGTTAACGGCCTTTTGTTTCCGTCCTCTCTCTTGCCACATTGCCTCCTTCTTCTTGTTGTGTTGTGGCATTAATTAGATTTAGCCTCACTCAGTGCAACTCATTCCATTAAAAGCCTTGGTGGGGGGAGGAAGGAAGAAAGGAAAAGGGGGAGGTGAGGAGGAGGAGACGCGGAGGAAGTCGGAGGCGGAGAGGAAACGAATTAATGTTTGTTGGTTTTTTTTTCATGTAGTAAATGTTTGAAGCAGCTGTTTTGTTGTTGGACGGTGGTCAGAACATCAGTCGTAAAGACGTTTTTTTTTATCTCTTCACTGGTATTTCCATTGACATTTCCATACTTAAAGTGTAAATGAGTTTTGCCTCAGTGTGGGTTACCTTCAAGCAGATACAGTAGAGCGCCCCCTTTCTGTCTCCTCTGTTCCTGCGGCGGGGGGCTTCAAAGACACTTTGGTCGTTGACTTGATCGCACTGAAAAAAAATTGTCATTTGTGTTTCGAAATAAAATTCAAATTTAAAAAAATCATTCTTATGAAAATAAAAACACTTTATAGTCATTTACAGCAGGACTCGGAGGTTCCTTGGTACTGTTTTCCTGAGTGATGGTAGGTTCACGACCTCCTCAACCGTCGGTGTTTCATGGCTACGTCACCTTTATTAAAAAAGTCTTGTTCCATCTTTAAACTCGCCAGTCCGCACAGTAACCAGGGTGGCAGTTGAATACATCCTTAGATGGTGCTATACGTCGAAGACGCCTTTGTTTACATTCACCGTTTGTGCGCCACCCATTGGATTGTGCTGCCTCCGCTTTCTTTCGCTCGTGTTTTTGAAGTGATGTTTTTATCTGTGTTTGTGTTCCTTTCAGGAGACCGACTCTTTCAAATCCACAAATAAGATCTGCCGTCAGCTGATCTACCACCTGACGCCCCACTCCAAATGGACCAGACAGAGCGTTCCCAGGAGGAAGTCTCAGGCTTGGTGAGTGGGTTCCTCCGCGTTCTACGGAGAACAGATGCTGGTGCTCACGCCTGCTCCTCCTCCTCCTCCTCCTCCTCCTCCTCTTCTTCTTCTTCTTCTTCCCTGAAACATGTGTATTCTTATCGACAAAGAGTCAGAGGTTCGATTCCAGCTGTGTCGTGATGCATCCTTTCCCCTTACAAATCAAAGATGGCGGGAGGGAGATGGGGGGGGTGATCGGTATCTCAGACTTGAGGGACACAGAGGATAAAACAAGTCGTTTTAGAGGACGCAAAGATTAAAAAAAAAAAAAAAAACATCCTCCCCGAAATATGTCTGGATTTTCAACCTACGACTTTACGTCAGCTATAAAAAAACAATTGCTTTAAATTGCATTCGTTTGTCCTTGGGCTAGTGTTTCGGTGATAGTGATTCTCAAACTACGGTATGCATACCACTAGTGGTACACCCCACAAACAATTCAGAATTGTTGTGTGTATTTGGGATTCTCTGTGTACTGCGATCAGCTGACCTGGGCTGCTGTACTTCATGTTGGTTGTACTGGTGGTACTCAGAGTTTAAGAAAGTACATTTTACTTTTCTTATTGGGTTTTCAGTAGAGATTGAGATTCTAGAATAAATGAACAACAATTTAACGTCACTTCAGGTTCATTTACTTCGTTTCCATTTTTCGAACTGTTTTTTTTAACATTTATACTGTATTTTATATTCATTGCTCTAATGGTTCCTGGAACTGTTTTATAGCTTTTGCTGAGGTGTTAGTTCCTGACGGGACCTGTTGTAAGAGGAAGACGAGTTGATCGATGCTACGCTCGTTAGCTAAACCATGGTTTGAAACATTCAAACAGTTTCACAGCATTGTTGACATTTTTATTGTTGTTATTTAAGCTGCTGCCTCCAGGTGTCACTACGGTTGATTATCTGTCCGTAACAAACCGTTTAATGGACGGTCTAGCGCTGCTGGTCCGTCTGTATGGAGGACAGTTGTGCAGTTGTGCAGAAACAGCAACTCGACAGTGCCAACAAATGAAAAAAAATCCTCCAACGCAGAAATGCAACAGGTTTCGTTCTCTGTCGTGATAATCACGAGCCTCCGTCTCCCCGAGCAATTAACCCACACTGAGAGAAGGTTTTTTTTTTGACAGTTTCACTTTACTTCCAAGTCTCTTGGTTGCGATGTTTTGAAATAACAGTCAACAAAAACAACAGTGCCTGTCTCCCCTCCTCCCTCCCCCTCGCTCGTTAGCCATTTCGGCTCTTCCTCCTCCACAGTCTGAGACGACAGCTCTAAACTGTGAGACTTTCTTCCTCTTTCATGTGAAATGTTCAGACGTTGATGGTTTCAGTTCTCGTGTTGTCAGGGCCTCATCTTTGGTCTCTTTTCTTTTGCCCCTGCCCTTTCCTGTGGGGTATTTCTAGGGATGTCCGACATTAACTTTTTACCGATATTGTCCTAACACTTAATCCGATATCAACCGATACCGATATATAACCCTACACAAACCATCTGTACAGTTCCTGGCACCAGCATTCTGCATACGATTTCCTGACCAGTGAAATAAATTAATTAAATGAGCTGCAGTGCTGCCCTCTAGTGGGTTTCACCTTCATATACGGCTGTTTTTCCCCTAAAACTATTTTTAGGGCACACATCATTTGGGGAAACCCAGGTATTGCGTTATCGGGTCTTGATTAGCGGAGGGAAAAACCAATAACGATTCTTACAGATATGACATAATTATGCTAATATCAGGCCGATAATATCAGTGGACAGATATTATCGGACGTCTAGATATTTCCTTTCCCTCCTTTCTGTCCAGAGTCCATTTTTTCAGACCAGCCTCGTGGGAAAAGCCTCTGTCAGACAGAGAGAAAATCACTTCAGGGTTCACCGTCAGAAGTCGAGATCTACCCCCCGTTTTCTGTTTTCAAACCTGTTTAGGAACGTGATCTTTTCACAATGTTAAAAAAAAAAAAAAACACAGATCACATTTTCATTTTCCTTCATGGCAATGGTGGAAAAGAAGGCTTGAAAGACCTGGAACTGCGCGGCGGCGTGCTCTTCCAAAGGATTCGAGTAAATACATGAAACATTTGCGACTTATTGGAAATCTTGCTTTATCACTGCTTTGCTTCATAAAGCCACAAGTGCAACGCCAGTGTGTCACAGTTAATATATGATCACAGCACTTTTCCCTCCGCGGTGCCTGTGTGCCAGGTCTGAGACGTACAGTACCGCTGATGCCCAGGAGGAGGCTTTAATGTTATTGTAAATGGTATTGGGTTTCTGATTCATCAGGCTGCGGCACATTCGGATAAGATTAGATTCCAATTTCATTTTGATTGCTTGTCTTTATTGCGAGGCAATAATTGATGCTCGCAGCAGCTTTTACAGACTCCAGAATATTCCGAGAAATCACTGATGTTCAGTTCAGCTGCAGGAGGAGGAAGAAGAGGCAGAAATCAGGAGAAGATACGATTTACTGCTGTATATCTTTGATCGTATACTCAGGTCATTCCTGTAGGCTAGCTCGAGGCTAACTGTGTTTTGTAAGTTTGACCTTTAGAAACTACAGGGACTTCTCTTGACATGTGATTGGCGGCTTGTTAGTGTTTGAGTCATTCCGGTAGCCGCGCCCTGAACTTCGTGGCGTTATTTTTATTAAAGTCTATTAACTGACCTTCACACTCCTTTCTGTGAGTTACTGTCACCAGTAGAAACGAAACGAGGAACCAGAGACTGGTAGGAAGAAGGTAGATCAGGTTAGAAAGGATGAAGTTAGAAAAGCCCTGAAGAGGATGAAGAGTGGAGAGTCAGTTGGTCCTGATGAGTGGAAGTATGGAAGTGCTTAGGAGAAGTGGCGGTAAATTTCCTGACTGGGTTGTTTAACAGCATTTTAGAGACTGACAAGATGCCTGATGAGTGGAGAAAACGTGTTCTGGTGCCAATTTATAAGAAGGGTGATGCACAGAGTTGTAACAACTACAGAGGGATAAAGTTGATGAGCCATACGATGGCGATTTGGGACAACAGTATGGTTTCATGCCTAGGAAGAGTACCACAGATGCAATATTTGCCTTGAGGATGCTGATGGAGAAGTACAGAGAAGGTCAGAAGGAGCTACATTGTGTATTTGTAGATTTAGAAAAGGCATATGACAAAGTGCCAAGGGAGGAATTGTGGTTTTGTATGAGGAAGTCAGGAGTGGCAGAGAAGTATGTTAGTTTGGTGCAGGACATGTATGAGAATAGTACAACAGTAGTGAGGTGTGCTGTTGGGAGGACAGAAGACTTCAAGGTGGAGGTGGGACTACATCAAGGATCGGCCCTGAGCCCCTTCTTGTTTGCTGTGGTGATGATAATTATTAATTATTTTTCAAAAATAAATTTAAAAAAAAAAATTCAAATTTTTTCAAAAAATTTTTTTTCAAAAAGAATTTCAAAAAAATGTTATTTTCAAAAAATAATTAATTATTTTTCAAAAAGAAATTTTCAAAAAAAAATTTCAAATTTTTTCAAAGATTTTAACCAAAAACTTTCAAAACCTGACCAACTTTGAATGACCAAAGAATGGACAGACTCAGGAATGAGGTCATTAGAGGGACAACACAGACAGGAAGGTTTGGAGAAAAAGACAGAGAAGCCAGATTGAGATGGTTTGGACATGTGCAGAGGAGGGACAGTGGACACATTGGAAGAAGAATGTTAGAGATGGAGCTACCAGGTAGGAGAAAGAGAGGAAGGTCAAAGAGGAGATATATGGATGCAGTGAGGGAGGACATGCAGATAGTTGGAGTCAGAGTAGGAGATGCAGAGAACAGGGACAGATGGAAATCAATCATTTGCTGTGGAAACTACTGAAAAAATGGACAAAGCCGAAAGAAAAAGAAGACTGTCACCAGTACTCAGTCCTCGGTACTCAAAGTACTAATAACCGTCTAGTAAACTTTTGCGGAATTGTTGAAAAGTGTCTCACGATTCTCCCTTCTGTCCTTGGTCTGGTTAAACTTTTAGCCTTTTAGATCAAGAGCTAAAATGTAGCAAAGAAATGATGGGGAAAAAGTTAGCAAAGTTAGCCTCGAAGGGTTACTAAAATGAGGCTTAAAAAAGTACTAATTTCACCGTGTACTTACCAAACAACAACTGCCCTCTGGAGGTAAACCGGTGTCATTAACCTGAAGCTGTTTCCTGTACAGATGTTGACTTTTGCATCGATGATTCAAACTAGATGTATCCTCGTTTGCATTTCAACATCTGATCGGACAGTTGTTCATCCACAGGGTCCCTGCACCTTAGATTTAACCTCCAAGCGTTCTCACTCTCACAGTCCTCAGCTCCACAGTCGACTTCCCTTTAAGAAAAATCACTTCTTTCCTCTGTAGCACCATCTGTTTGAATGTCCTTCCAACTCCTACAAGTTCATCACTAATCTTCACTGGCACCGAACGTCGTCTTCTCACTGAGACTGAACGACCGTCGCTCTGAACGACTGTCGCTCTGAACGACCGTCGCTCTGAACGACCGTCGCTCTCAGTTCTGATTATAACGACGTTTGTGACTTTGTCAGAAACATAATAAAATAATAAATCCACTTTCCCAACATATGTTCTTCCACCCGGCTCTTCATCTACTAATTATTAGAAATGTTGGATTTTAAGCCGTTTCTGTTGAAATTACGTGTTTGGACAATATCGGCATATCGGATATCGGCAAACATTCAAGGTTAGTTATCGGACATCCATAGATCACACGTTGTTATTAACTGTCCATAATTCAATGTATTAGTTCCTTCATGCAAATGCTTAAAGAAATTGTGAGGAGGTTAATATTTGACTGTAATACATGATTCTGCCACTAGATGTTGCTAAACGGTGGAGACTGTACTTTTAAATTAAAATGAAAAGTAAAGAAGAAACTCTGAGTTTCCTCAAATAAATAAAAGAAATAAAAATAATAACATAAGGAATAGTCTATAAATGTGCACCGTGGACATCTAGTGG